TACCTGTCCAAACCCAGTCCTTCAGGAGCTGAGGAATGTAATTTAATTGASACTCCTTTTCTTCCTCCAGAGCATTAATTTATCATGTAATTTTGTGGCTAGTTTGAAGCACAGGTTCATGTTCAGTCAAACTCTTTTGCTTAATTAATATTGTCTAAATTTGATCTTGGATCAAAGAGAACGCACTGTATATAAAACAAGAGAAATAACACTTCCTYGTCCTGGAGACTTCTCATATAAACTCTTCTAGTTTCACAGTGGGTTAGGGTCCAATTCCAAATGACAAAAGCAAAAAGCTAAAATATTTCTAATGTGAAAACACCACAGAGGACCAAGTTTCATTATTATTTACTGTTATTTCATTGTAACAAACAAGATCTGGCAGCTTTCTCCTGCTATTAGCTAGCATATACTCCTGAGGGTCCGTGGGGGTCATCCAAGTGGTGATTCTGTTCCTTTTTTGTTGAGAGAGATTCCAGAAGATATTATTGAGAGATTACTCACCTGTTGGATCAGTTTTTCACTTTGTGTCTTGTCAGCACTCCARTGTGTCCACGGAATTTTTAAAGGGTAGACTGGGAGTTACTGCAGGACCTGAGATGCAGTTTGGTGTCACCATTTCTCCCAGTGCAGCTGACATCAGAGTGGCAGTGCCCAGTTTGTAACTGAAACTGGAGCAGTGTGTGAATTCCCACCTCAAAGGCAGAGTTAACAATTACATGATGTGTAGATCTTCCCTTCAACTCCTACATCTGTTGTAAGAGTGTCTCTATGTCACTATTTGAAAGTCACAATGTCAATAGGAACTGCAATGCCCAGTGGACAACTAATTGTGTAAAAAAGATTTACAGATGAAGCACTCGAAAGAAGATTGTTTTTTAAGTGTCTTTGAAACAATTTTGTATTAAATACATGGACATATTATTACTTGTGCACTGCATCTACTGCAGGTACTGTGCTAATTCAAATACAGGTACCGCTAACTTTAGTGAAGGCCACACAGCTCCTTTTGGGGTTGCTCACAGTCAGATAGAGACAGAAAGAAAGAGAGAATTCCTGCTGGTTTTCAGTGTATTGTCATCAGAAGAAGGAGGCAGTCTTGTAACTTTTAAACCTGGTTTTAAGTTATGGTTATGGCAAATCTTGGACCACCCCAGCTTTAAATTTTATAAACATTTCATTTTGCTTTATGGTTATAATGTTTAGAATTTGTTACTGGTGCTAGTAGCTGCAGATCTACTTATTTATGTCGTGCTCCTGCGTTTACATTTCACTCTATCAGTTAAACTTAAACCAGTTCACACAATATGTCAGAAGTATTTAGTGTTAGAGTTCTTAGATTTACAGGCTCTATGATTTCATTACAATTGCTCTGCATCTGCAGCAGCTGTAGCAAATCAGACTATGGCTCATAGACTTCACATAGCAACTCACAATTAATTTGTACTTCTTTTAATGGGCTTCTTTACTGTACATAAAGCATGCGTGTGTACACAGCAACCTTTATTTTCTCCCCTTTTAAAAAAACTCACCATCTTCCTCTTTAGGAAAGAATAATTATAGAGATTCTACACTGGCAATCAAATACTCTTTACCTATAGGCATGTTTTCAGGCATTTTTTTTTTCTTATCTTCCAACATTTACTTAACTGGGGATTTTACTACTGAAACAAACTGAGGTTTGACAGAGATCTGTTGTCTTTGCATTATTAAACAGAAAACAAGCCGTAAACCCACCTTGTTTACTCTTCAGAGACCCTTGTACTGTATTACATGAGGGCTCCATAGCCCTGGGCCTTTCTGTTTGCACTGCTCTAAGACTGAATCCTAATATTTGAACATCTGTGTTGCCATCCTTCTACCTACTGTTCAAAACTGCAYAGGAAAAAGTCTTCCAAAACACCCCTCGAGGCAAGACTGTGTGCCTATTAAATTGAAAAGATGCTGAGGTATAGAGCTTGACTGCCTTGCCCGAGGCCATGCATTTCTCTTGGGCTGAAATTGCGTGTACCTTTCCACCACTCGCCTCGCTACAAAACTTGTTGTGTGAGGGTGTAAGGACTGCAATCCTCACACAGCAATTTGAGAATTATAAAGAGAGGATTCACCCTGCGAGAACAAAAACTTAGGGGGGGAAAAATCAATCTCCTGCATGTACACATAGGTGAATTTTCCTTTTCTGCTCTTAGGTTTCTTTCCAGTGAAGAGCAAGCAGCAGCTCCAGCTTCTGCTCCTGTGCCTTTCCTCTGCAGGCAGGCAAGGAGCCTGAGGCACCCACACAGCCCACCCTGCTTGAGAATCAGATTTCAGACAGAAAAGCTTTGTCCTTGGGCACAAATATGAAAATCAGCTTGTTTGGGTATTTCTGACTCCTCCGGAGCTCCAGCCCTGGGTCACGTTGTGCTTGTGGGGAGTTGTGTAATGGTTGGGATGTGTGGGGTTAGAAATGCAAGTGAGCACATGTGAGCTCAGGTTGGTGGGGGAATTGCCCTCGTTTGTATGGGTGAATTTGTTTGAACAGACYTGCTGCACCCTTTGTCTTATCTAAACACAAAGCAAAGCCCATCGTTTTTARCAACTTCCTTGTGCCTTCCYTCCTCCARTTCCCCTTTCCCTGGCTGGAAAATRAAAGCAGAACTTAATTGTTGGGAAATTTTTGAATTTGCCACACTAACCTTATGGTACCATCTCAGGATAACTGAGGTATACCTATCCAGGCCAGGAAAATTAATAAATRACATCTGACAGTACCTTGGAGAGGAGTTCTGGAGAGAGGCAAGATTTGAGACTTTGCACTAATATTTGCTTTACTCACAGAACATGGTTCTAGCTTTCTTAGTGCGAACTCACATTTGGATTTTTATGTCCTTTTTGAAAATACATATAAATTAGAAGAAATGTTAAATTTTCCACTACAGGATCCTTCAAAGATAAARTTCCATTTGGACTACCTCAGAATCAGAAAAGTTTGCATTTTGTAGACTTATGATGAGAGAGAATGAGTCTTTGAGAAATGTCTTAATTGCATGTTTGTGGGGTGCTTTTGGTTTTCTTTTTTTCCTTAGGAAAAATGCAAATATCTCCACAAGAACTCACAGAATCAAAACCAAGGGAGAGTCCTCACTAACCTTAACAGGCACCAGATCATGCTGCTTTACAGCAGATCTTAATGGCCAAAGGCAGAACATTTTTCTGCCTCAGTGCTACAGAAAGGTGCCAGTAATAACAATCCCATCGGGTGGATATAAACCCATCCTCGCTGAGTCTGTGCTGGGAGGCAGAGCCTGCATTGCCTTCTCCACCGACAAAATCTCAAATACTCGTGCTGAGCTACTGCCAGACAGCTGGCACATCAGCATAAAATCCACTGCAACCTGCAATTGTGTGCACGAAATGGAGCAAAGAGCTGTGTGATCCGGCTCCTGCTCCCCTGGTTCAAGTGCTGCTGGCGCAGTTTCCAGCTGGTTCAAAGCCAGCCCAGGTATGTGAACGTGACCTTCTCCTGGAGAGCTGTCAGGTAGACATGACCTGCTCCCTGCTCCTGATTATGCAGCAGMCTCCAGGAGTCCTTGGGCACTCTGATGATTTACCTCTGTCCTTTCACCAAAGCTGCATTTTTTTTTCTCTGTCCTAGTAGTTCATATATTTTATTCTTCTTGAAGAGATCTGTCTTCTCCCATCCATGTATCCTGCTATTACCTTTATTAGCATTTCATTATATTATTGTTCTGGGTTCTTTTCAGTTTGCTGGCATACAGACATGTCTTATTAATTCTTTYTCTCCAGATATTATCATCTCTGGTTGACTACCAATTTTTTTTAGTGCATTATTGTCAAATGCATATATTAGTTTTCATKTTCCTTTCTTTGTGATTCTTTTTTCTGTAAAAAACAATGAGACRTATAAAGACTTAACAAGACTTTAATTCTTCATCCTATTAAAAAAGTGCAATTGTTAATGTCTAAAATGTACCTTGCACAATCCTAAATGATTTTATGCATGAGATCTTAATTACAGAGAATGTTATTTCTTAATTAATGTATTCCAGACATCTGTAGGTTTGATTTCTAAAAATCTAGTTCTTGCCATGGGTATATTTTTAACTTACACATGCAAGAAAGAGATGAAGTTTTCTGGTACTTGTTAGCAGTGTAAGAGGTAGCTCCCTGGCACTTTTAAATCTGATGCTGTTAATCATCACAGTGCCATGATCAGGCTTATATATATATATATATATATATAATTTAATACTGCCCAATACTACAGGCATCTAGTCAGAGATATAATTTTATTGAAATATATAGATGACCTAAGATTCAAGACTTACGGACATTTAAAATGTAAAGGGGAGAAGCTACTGTATAAAAGCATATTGGGGGGGGGGGGGGGGGAGGAAAAAAAAAAAAAGAAGAAATAAAAAGCAGATAATTTTTCTTTAAAGTGAGAAAGTATATACAACTAAAATCTTTTTACYCTGATCCACTTAGGAGCATGCTGTTTAATGACGYCAAGTGATAATGTACTTAAATGGTTAATGCAAGGCTTGATCCTCCTCTAAAACTGAGCTGGGAACAAAAGCTGAAATGACTTTTTGAAAGGGAGGGACAGAAGGAATTCTGACCCTTCTCCTGGCGCTTTACAACGTGAAACCACAAAGCAATTGAGGAATCGGTGCACGGCACGTGGATTAAAACGCTTCCTAGAAGCAGCCAGCACTGCACATTGCCTAAACCCTCCCTGAACTTTCTCCGTGAATACAGCAGCCTGACAGCCCGGCTTCCCGCTGGGTGGATCCTGCAACTCCAGGAGGGAATGGCACTTCTTGTTTTTAATTAGCAAAGGTGAAAGGTGAATTAAAAGTAGCTGTTTGGCAAGTCTGAGCAAGGGGCTGAGTTCTGAAGAGCACCAAGGAGGAGGGTGCTTTCTCTTTTTTTTCCTGGATTTTTTTTTTTTTTTTTTTTTTTTTTTTTTTTTTTTTTTTCCCTGCCTCCTTCTCTGAATGAATTGCCTTGCAGGAGGGACTGAAAATACAGCTTCTTCCTGAATCCACTGGCAGAGTTACTAAAGACAGCTCAAGACACAACACTGCAGAGTAACGCCTTGGAATGTCCTCGCACTTTATAAACAATTGTCCTAGGGAGGGAATATTTTTACATGACATTTGCACAGCTTGACAAATGGCTAGCTGAGGCTGTGTGCTGCTCTGATGGACGCTGAATTTCCCACAGAGTTACCCCACAAACTGACCAAAGAGACAGAGATATAACTGCACTGGCAAAGTAGAAGTGGAAGTTGGAGTCTTAAAAACACCCCACCAAAACAACAAACAAACAGCAGCACTTCAGTGAAGAGAGCAAGAAAATTCTCTTGGGCAGGATGGCATCTGCCCAGGACCTTCTAATCCTGGCACTCTATGGCTTGTTACTAGAGTTACCGGCTGGATGTCACACAGCAGATACGAGGCAACCAAGGTTACGTCTGTCACATAAAGGTAGGTCAGTGTGTCAGCTTTTTAAAGACTTTATGCTAATGCAAGTTCATTGGCTTCACTGAATGTATTGCACCGGGAGGAAATGATGGTCCTTTGATAAGAGTAAAATGTTGGTGTTCAGAAATCTTGTGAATTGTTTCCTTGTATTAAACTGCATCCTAGATTAAGTTTACTGCATTCTGGAAGACTTGAGGTACTTGCAGTGATGATTTKAGACTACGGAAATATTCCTCTACCTGAAAGTGTGTTAGATTTGCATGTCATTCTCTCTTACTCTGCATGTTCTAAGAAGGCTGTCAGGTCTCTTAAGAGGGAAAGAAATGGAGAAGATAAGCTGAAATTATTGCTGAATAAATGTGCACCTTGAACAATTAAATGTCTGTTTCACTTTTAGAATTCTRTCTTTCTGCAAATATAGCTAAGGCAAAAAGACTGAATTCCTGTGCAACCATATGATTCATTTTCTAAACTAGCAAGTGTCATCACACTATAATTAAAATGAGTAACTGCCAGTGTAAGTCTGCTTGCAGTTTAACTGAGTTACCCAAAGAAAAAATGTTATTTCTTTTCTGACATATTTATGTGGAAAACTTATAACATGTGATTTAGACTCTTCCCTGTGATTTGGGTTTAATCCTGCATATATATGTAAATACCTGTGCACAGCCATGGCATTTCAGTTCTCTGCAACAGGACATAYATTTGTAGATTATATACTTACATAGGTAAGACAGATAATAATTGCAGTAGGAGAAAAAAATGTAAGTGTGCAAGAAAAGCTGATGATTGCCAAAATGTTTTGGTATTACCTTTTATGCATAGATGAAAAGAAAATACCTTTTTGCTGACAKAGTTGGGAATGAGCAAATTCCAATTTACTCAAGAACATTTCAATRCAAGTGATAACTAAGCTGCATCAGTGTGAAGTACATTAGAATAGCTATTTTAAGAATGGCTAAGATTTAAGAATTAGCAGCAGCGAGAGCTCTATGTGTCTACAGCTTTACTCCAAACAAGGTTTAGTTGTGTTTTATATAGCAAGCTAAATTACCAATTATGAGGAAGGGAGAAGCTGAATAGGATAATTGGTCTGAATGTCTTGCTAGGAAGCTATAAGAAATAGGGTTTGCATTTATATGGCAGTGAAATGTTTTAGAGAAAGTATTTGTCATGAAAAGCTGTCTTGTAAGTAAACAATTAATTGCTTTAAATGAAATAAATTATATGACCCCTTTTACTATATAAACCACTTTTCTTTCAACCTGTGGTTTCAGAGCACAGTAAGAATGAGTGCCAARTGCTGATTGTATAATTCTTTCACATCTCTTGCTGTTGAAAATGTGCATTTGAACATTGATTTATTTCTAGATGTAACTACTAGGGCTATAATKATTGTTGATATTTGTTTGCTTGTGATGGGGTAAGGGAGATGAGGAAAGCACAGTGAGTGAGACAAATAGAGCCAGTGTTGTGTTGGTTCAGGACCTGGGCTTAGCTGGCAGTTTTGGCAAGCTCCCCATTGTGGTGCTGGGACTATTAAYTGCTTCTTTGCTCATTTGTAGCAGTAATTGCTTTCTGATGGCTGGAACCAGGGTACATTTCACCATTTCATTGCCTACTACTTCTCTTTTCAGCAGTGAGCCAGGAATTTACCATAACACATCATAACTCTGATGTCTTCAAACAGATCTTAAAACTTCCATTTCTCACAGAGGGCCAAACCTTCCCAGCCTGGTGGCAGCTCCCTCAGATCCAATGACACAGAAATATCTGTCCTCATAAATTCCCTACCACAGTCACCCACATCACCATCTTATATTTCACCCTGTACAATTCTCTGTCACATTTTTYTCACTCAGGAAATGTGACTGATTTTACAGGCAGTGTTGCAGTCAGGGATTGCCTGACCACATATCCCCAGCCAAGGGTTGGAAGTGGCATACCTGCCTGCCACCCTGGGAACAGCTACACCAAAAGAATGTCGCGACCACGCATGAAGACAATGAGCAAATGTCGCTGCTGTCCTCCCAAATCAAACAGGAACAGCAGGAGGGTCCCTCATCTTAATTGCCTTTGCTCCAGAGAAAGGCTGCTGCGGCTACCAGAGCTGTGGGGTGGTTACAAAGAGTGCTCACTCACTCTCTGTACAAAGTTGCTTCAGCCTGTCCTGTGAGTTGTTGTTGTGGTACAGAGGACGAAGCCCAAATGTGTAAATTTTCAATGTGGAGGAACTGTAACCTCAGTTAAAAATTTCCCTGCAAAGACCAAAGCAGGCCTGCTCCCTGCCTCCCTTTGAACTGTGGATGTTGGTGCCTCATTGGGATTCCAAGCAAGACAGGCCAGTGTCAGTTGGAAAGTTAAAAGCTACTGTGTTGAATATGATAAGGTTAGGACATCAGATTTGTTTTTGTTACAGAAACATATTTAAAACCAGTCCATTTTAAAATCTTGTTTCCTYAAAGAGTCAAGAGAAGGCTTCAACAAATTAGAGATTCCTTTGATTTTTATAAATTCACAAATGATCCCTTTAAATMGCTTTAAAAGTGGTGCTCAGTGAAAGCAAAGTAGTGATCTGACAGGGGATGGGAACCTTTTGCTCTCACAGCAAATCAGACCTTCACCTGCAGCCTCCAAACCCACAGCAACGAGATCAGGTCCTAACCCGTGCAGAGAGGTCGCCTGATGGATAGGAATACCACAATCCCCCTGCCAATTAAGGGATGGATTGAGCAACCCCTGTTTGACTCCACGGCCATTTACTCTGCTTCAGTGGGAGTTAATGAAAGTCCTGCTTTCATGAACCACCGTTAAATCTGTCAAGTCAATGCAAACTGTAATGGTGATTTTTGCTAAGGTAGATGATGGTCTTTATTCACAGTAAACCCAAATGTGGATTTCACTTTATGAGATGAGAATTGGTCCTGTAACYACCTAGCAGTCATTTTATGGTTCTAACTTCATTTTTCATAAGTTAATCACGGTTTATATCCAGAATTTGGAGGTGATTTCCTCAAACCATCATCTTGTGTCTATTAGAAAATTTATATTGCAATTAGTACCACTTGTGGTATTAGTGTTATGATTGCACTCAAGGTCAGTGCTTGAAGATGACTAACCAAGATCTGTGTACTCCAATAACTTCATGTTGATTTGTASAGATAAAAATGTGTTACAGCTTGCTTAATATTACAGAGAAATAGATTTCTACATTTTTAAGTTATAGGTTGACAACTTCATTTAAAAATCATTAGGTCACTTTACGTACAGTACAGACCCTGGCTAATGAGGTGTTAATGGAAGCCGAGCTTCAGCCCCTATTCTTTATAGGCTGCTGGTTAAATTCTTTCCCAGTATCCCACAGTTGGAGTTCTYGCAATGGGAAATATATAATTAAGGTGAAATCAGCACACACTGCGTGTTAAAAAGAAACTATTTACATTACAGATTGAAATGGATTGGGTTTCCAGAGGACAGGAGGGATGTATTTATATTAGCCTAGCAGAGCTACACTGGAAGCATGTGGGCCTTAAAGGCCCATGAAAGATGTAATTGTATAATTCAAGCATTATGYATGGTTTGCTTTGTATTTCTAATTGGTTTAGGATTTTTTTTTCTTTTCCTAGTTCATGAATATGGTAAAGAACAGAGGTAACACAGTATGAAAATGAGATGTTGAGCCTTTAGAGTGGTCTGTACAATTTTGTTGAAGCAGTGAGATCTGGTGCAGTTACACRCAGCAATTTGTACATTTTCAGGGATCTTTTTTCTGTTTTACCCGCTTCGTCCTCTTGAGTGACTTGAGGGATTTTGGTATTACCTGACCTCAGGCTGTGTAGTTACGCACTGGACACTGCTCTGGTCTGAAAAAGGTGTGGTTAAGAAGCAATTGTGCCTGTCTTACCCATTGAAATCTGTATTTTTTACCTGTTGKAACTGCTTGCAACTTTCTAGAGTCAAGCTGTGCCAGGCAGAAGGAGCAGACTGAACTCAGAAGGAAACCATGTGGGTTAAAAAATTTGTTCTCCAAGCACAAATGTTTCAARCACTAGCAGCAAACAGCTAAGGAAGGGAGAGCTGAAATATTGCAGACAAAAACTGATACTCTCCATGTTTATATTCAGATTTTAATATGGAAAGTGTGTAATATAAAACAKTTAATGCAGAAGAATTTAGGTTTGTTAGGGCTGACTAATCATCTTTGAAGGCTGCTGAGGTCTGTTACAGCAGAAAAAAATGTTTAATTGCCATTTGCAGAGACCAGAGTTTCAGCATGTCTGTTTTAACTTTCTTGGTAATTGTAATTTAGAATTTATTGTAATTAAGGGTTTCACCATACTCATCCATGATACCTTACTCTGTTCTCTAGCTAGAGGGCAGTAAAATATACTCTGAGGCTAACAACTACATTGAGTAACAAAATTGGAGAGTTTTTAGACTGGTATTTCTGAATTCTAAAGTAGATAAATATATTTAATGCAAGTATAGTATTTTCAGTTAGTAATCACCTGGCTGCATAAATAATGGCTTCTTAATGACTAGCCATATAACCCATAACTGAATCACAATTGATTCAATCTCATATGTGAAAATGTTTTCTGGTTCTAACATCTTTCACTGGATTTGAATAACTAGGAAAGACCAGTTTTCCTACCAAAGTAAATTCACATTCAATAATTTTTTTAATTCATGGTAGATATAAATCACCTTGAATTTTTACCAGTATAAGGACTTGACATGTGGTCTTTGCTTACCTATAATCCAGAGAAGTGTATGTATGAAAAAGATAGAGGATATTGTATATGTATACACACACATGCACACACAGACACACACATATATATATAAATATAATAAGTATATGTACTTGTGAAATAAGTATGTGTGTACATATGCATAACAGATTGAAGTTTTTGTTTCTTACATTGAATCAAAGAGCAGTATGATTCCAAGGGTTTAGGAACCAATGGCCTTTATTGTGGCTCCACATCTAAATGTGCTGG